GATTTACATTTGACTGTATTTTCTTTCTCTACAAAACAAATCAGACATTTGTGAATAGCAGAGAACAACATTAGAATGTATGAGTGTGTTTACCTCAGTTGACGTGAACCTCCTCCAGTCGGACCAGAAGTCGACTGGCAGACGCTTTTTATAAGTTGACTGAACGATCCTCGGTACTCCAGTCAGGTCTGTTTCTGGTCTTCTTGGCTCCCTAAAGGTCCTTGCATCCCTGAAGGCCTCGATCTTTAAATGACCAATTAACTGGATGTCTTTGTTTCATTCAGCTTTATTCAACTTTTCTCAACTTATGTCCGCTGTATATTTGATAATTTTCCAGATTTAAATGGAACATTCAGTAAGAAACCCCCAAAATCCACCAGTCTCCTGCACTTTCTCATGTTTCTGTGGACCCTTAGTGACAGTACTAATAACACACTGTATTGATCCTGCATTGACTGTTACTGAAAGTCCCCATGAAGTCAAAATGGATGTTTAAGTGTTTTGATCACATACTTGTTGTGCTATACGTTACCTATACTCCAGTACCTGTCCCAACAATGACACGACACACAAAATTATAATTTTTTAGGTATTTTACAGTGCAGGTACAGGTACAAAAACACAACTTTATAACTTTAGTCAGTGATTTAGTCGGCTGAGCTCATTTACTGCGTTTCTTAATGGAAAGATTGATAAATAGTGAACCGCTAACAGCCATTAGCCCGGACAGCAGCTAACCTAAGTAACTAAGCTCTGGGATTCCAAGAGCCAAACCCAGCAAGAAAACCACCCCAGTACTGTATTCCCTGTGAGACTGGCACAGTCGTCATTCACTCATACACTGCTCAGACATCAATAAACCAGCTAAGATAGAAGAACTACTGCAGAGCATATGTAAAGGACCCCCAGAAGGCCCCTTTTTGTTGTCATACCTACTGCCTGACCAAATTACGAGACACCAACTTCTGGTGAAAGCCTGACTGAGTGTTTACAGGAAACACATAACTATGATGAAGCAAACAGCTCTCTGCTTCCTGTTTAATGGAGACTTTAAGTAAAAGACTTTGGGTAAAAGTATAATCAGGAAAATATAAAATTCTGACTGCAATAAAATGCCCCCTGTGACTGTTACACCATTATTTATTATATAGGAAGACAATTATTTTATCTTGAGCATATTTGCATGAATGACAGAAGTTCTTATTCCAAACTGACTGACGGAGGATTTAATACAGCGATCAGACGTAACAGTGAAGGTTTTTATGATTTCTGGTTTATCCAAATCAGCCATGTCTGTGCACACAGAAGGCCTGTATTATCAATTAACATCAGCTGAGAAACATTAAGTCACTCTGGGTGTTGCGAAGGGAAATTAATTTTGAAAAGTAAGGAAAAGGAAATTACATTTCAGTTAGTGCAACTATTTTATTAACAATCATTTACATTTAATTCAGTATTGAGTCATTTCACCTCTGCTACAGTCGTCCTTTTCCTGCTAAACATGATGAATATTTTTTGTCTGACAACTTTGATTTGTAGTCCGTAGATAATAGCGTTCATAGCAGGAGGGACCACGTGGAACAAGATGGATGCCAGTTTCCTGTAATCGGATAAGTTTGGGAATCGATGGAGGATGATGATGATGAAGCCAGACACAAACATGATGATGTACACAGCCAGGTGGGTGGCACAGGTCTGCAGGGCTTTGCTGTTCAGGACCTTGTTGTTATTGAGCACGCACACTGCGGCGATCTTCAGGTACGTGAGCGTTACGCTACCGATGGAGGAGCCCAGCAGGACCACGGTGTAACTGAGGCCATAGATGTTATTGATGAGGACGCTTTCACAGGACAGCTTGAACAAGGAGGCGTTGTCACAGAACGGGTTGAATATAATCCACCTGCAGCGCGACAGGCGGACACTGAGGCCAATGAGGATCAACACCATCAACAAAGCCACCATCCACGCCGACACCGACAGCTTCACCACCATCCTGTTGGACATGATGGTGGCGTATCGTAGAGGGTTGCAGATCGCAACGTATCGATCAAAAGCCATGATCATTAGTATAGTGTGGGTGGCACCGGCATAAAAGTGAGCATAAAACGCCTGAATGACACAGTCGATGTAAGGAATGTAGCGGTCGCTGCTCGGAACAAAAATGTTACTCAGCAAGTGAGGAATGATGACCGTGGCCCCCAATGCATCGTTAACGCTCATGTTGCAGAAGAGCAGATACATTGGCTGGTGAAGGCTCCTCTCCGTGGTGATCAGGACTACAAGGCCAATATTGGACACCATGATGAAGACATAGATGAGGAGGAGGATGATGAAGGCGGGAATGGAGGACTCCAGGCTGACCTTTAACCCCTCCACAAGCAGAATATCTGTTCTTAAAGTCTGGTTTTCCATAGTGCAGAGGGGTAATTTAAGCCTATTGAGGATTGGAGAAAGAAAAATAGCAGTTATATAAAAAAAATACATCTGGAGATAATAATATTAACCGGTTGATAAGCATTGCAAGTGCTTCTGAAACAATAGGGTAATAGTTTAATGCAAGAAATACCCACGACGCAGGTTAAAACCAGATACCACAAAATATGTACCTATAAGATGTGTATGTCTGAGTGAAGGGCTAAAATACAATCAACATTTTTCAGGACAGTTCAGGATTATTTCCTGGATTGTTACTCCTTTGAATCAATCAATGATCTATCAGAGTGATGTTGTTAATAACAGTGATAATTTGTCAGCTGAAAAATGATAAATTAACTTATATACATATAATATACTCTAAATAGTCTGCATGTATGGTAACTCAGTTTTGACAAGTCAAACAGAATCCTATTAGCCTGAATTAATCAGAATACGACAAAATAAATCACTTTATTTCCCCACTTTACCGATGCAGTTCATATACATAAAAGCAATTAGACGCTGCTCTCCTTTACTAGTCTGGTGTGGCTACACATTTTGACAAATAAAAGCAGGTTGAGTTCAGTGATTTAAACAAATAAAAGCCTATTTACTGAAGGCTATTAACAATATAGCCAAATATGTTATGGCTATAAAGATATACAGATACCGTTGTGCCATGAAAAACCTTTTTTTGTCAAAGTTTACATATTTTCTGGATGCTCAAACACTATGATTTTGCATATTTTGACTTTTGTCACAATTCAGTGGATAAGCTTAAAAGCAGCTCTGACCTATACCCTGTATCTATAGCACTTACCTCTATCCTGTATCTACAGCACTGACCTCTGTCCTGTCACTACAGCACTGACCTCTGTCCTGTATCTAGAGTACTAACCTGTCTTGTATCCGCCCTGTCCTCTGTAATTACATATTATTGTCAGTTGGACTCAAATCTTTATTAACTGTCTCTGAAAGACAATTAGTGTCAAATTATTAGACTTTAGAAAACTTATGAAATAAAGTTAATAATACAGGCTACAAGTTAAGCCTACTTATTGAAGGCTATTAAACAAAGTGTTATGGGTATACAGATACCGTTGTGACATTAAAAACGTTAAACGCTTTTCTTTAACATTAAGAAAGATTTTTGGCAAACATGAAAAAAACAACATGTTGTAGTGAAATGTACCCCCCCCTTGCAGCAAATTCTAGGGTTGTCTGTTTTCACTGTAATAAAATCGTATTTAAAAATCATAACTCATTTAGCAAGCAAAAGCACTTTCTTTAGACATTCATCACTTGTTAGGTTTACCTGCTGCTGAGTCACTCCCAATGTATCTTTAAAAAACACAAAAAATGTGAATGTCTTATAAATTTCAAAGAATAAAGTTATATCAGCGCTGTTGCCTATAAGACCAGACTCTTGTGTATTTTCTGTAGTATTCTTGTTGCCCTTTGGCAACTACCTTTTGTCATGTTTTAATGAAAAACCAAATAAAATCATGAAAACACACTGCAGCTCAATAGTCGCCTCCATGTTCAGTTGGAGGATTTCACACATTTCCTAAACAGCTTAGAAACCAGCACGGTTTCACTGACATGACAAGGAAAATTTGTGTTCAGTTTGACCCATTTGTTTTTACAGGTTTTCCTTTTTAAATGAACATTTTCATACTGTACTTAAGAGCAGGGTTCCCACTCCTAACAAATAATTTGAGAGGACCTTTCCATTTTCACGTTTTTTCATGATTATAAAGGACAGCACTTGCTTATAACCACTTACATAGGATGCGGTTTGGGGCAGATTAGCACTTTACTACAGTTTTCCTTTAACTGTAATCCCTTAAATCAATTTGGCCGCAGCCCGTATGTAGTTCAAATCAGGTAGTAATTTATTTTATTTTACGGAAAATGAATAAGCTGTATGTATTTAAACATGAACATTTTGCACATCTGGTAAACCCTCTTTGAAGCATTATACAGCTCATCCTGAGTGAGAAGCTTTAATACAATTAAAACTTTCCAGAAAGACAGACTATTTCCAGGATATTCTCTAATTATAATCAATTTCCAGGTGTTTTTATGACTGGAAATCTAGTTTCTAAATGTCCTGGTTTTCCAGGACTTATGGGAAGTAAAATAACGTAAATGTTGTATATAAAGCAACTGAGAGTCTCAAAGCAGTTCTTTTAAATACTAATTGTTGCTGACAGATTTAGTTTTTCTGCTTTCAATCCATCTCATTTTGGCCCATTTTTTAGTAGTCTCAGATTTACATTTGACTGTATTTTCTTTCGCTACAAAACAAATCAGAAATTTGTGAATAGCAGAGAACAACATTAAAGTAAAATAACATAAATCTTGTATACAAAGCAACTGAGAGTCTCAAAGCAGTTCTTTTAAATACTAATTGTTGCTGTAAAACTTGACAGATTTTAGTTTTTCTGCTTTCAATCCATTTCATTTTGGCTAATTTTTCACTAGTCTAAGATTTAGATTTGACTGTATTTTCTTCCTCTACAAAACAAATCAGAGATTTGTGAACAGCAGAGAACAACATTAGAATGTATGAGTGTGTTTACCTCAGTTGACGTGAACCTCCTCCAGTCGGACCAGAAGTCGACTGGCAGACGCTTTTTATAAGTTGACTGAACGGTCCTCGGTACTCCAGTCAGGTCTGTTTCTGGTCTTCTTGGCTCCCTAAAGGTCCTTGCATCCCTGAAGGCCTCGATCTTTAAATGACCAATTAACTGGATGTCTTTGTTTCATTCAGCTTTATTAAACTTATCTCAACTTACGTCCGCTGTATATTTGATAATTTTCCAGATTTAGATGGAACATTCAGTAAGAAACCCCCAAAATCCACCAGTCTCCTGCACTTTCTCATGTTTCTGTGGACCCTTAGTGACAGTACTAATAACACACTGTATTGATCCTGCATTGACTGTTACTGAAAGTCCCCATGAAGTCAAAATGGATGTTTAAGTGTTTTGATCACATACTTGTTGTGCTATACGTTACCTATACTCCAGTACCTGTCCCAACAATGACACGACACACAAAATTATAATTTTTTAGGTATTTTACAGTGCAGGTACAGGTACAAAAACACAACTTTATAACTTTAGTCAGTGATTTTTTCGGCTGAGCTCATTTACTGCGTTTCTTAATGGAAAGATTGATAAGTAGTGAACCGCTAACAGCCATTAGCCCGGACAGCAGCTAACCTAAGTAACTAAGCTCTGGGATTCCAAGAGCCAAACCCAGCAAGAAAACCACCCCAGTACTGTATTCCCTGTGAGACTGGCACAGTCGTCATTCACTCATACACTGCTCAGACATCAATAAACCAGCTAAGATAGAAGAACTACTGCAGAGCATATGTAAAGGACCCCCAGAAGGCCCCTTTTTGTTGTCATACCTACTGCCTGACCAAATTACGAGACACCAACGTCTGGTGAAAGCCTGACTGAGTGTTTACAGGAAACACATAACTGATGAAGCAAACAGCTCTCTGCTTCCTGTTTAATGGAGACTTTAAGTAAAAGACTTTGGGTAAAAGTATAATCAGGAAAATATAAAATTCTGACTGCAATAAAATGCCCCCTGTGACTGTTACACCATTATTTATTATATAGGAAGACAATTATTTTATCTTGAGCATATTTGCATGAATGACAGAAGTTCTTATTCCAAACTGACTGACGGAGGATTTAATACAGCGATCAGACGTAACAGTGAAGGTTTTTATGATTCCTGGTTTATCCAAATCAGCCATGTCTGTGCACACAGAAGGCCTGTATTATCAATTAACATCAGCTGAGAAACATTAAGTCACTCTGGGTGTTGCGAAGTGAAATTAATTTTGAAAAGTAAGGAAAAGGAAATTACATTTCAGTAAGTGCAACTATTTTATTAACAATCATTTACATTTAATTCACTATTGAGTCATTTCACCTCTGCTACAGTCGTCCTTTTCCTGCTAAACATGATGAATATTTTTTGTCTGACAACTTTGATTTGTAGTCCGTAGATAATAGCGTTCATAGCAGGAGGGACCACGTGGAACAAGATGGATGCCAGTTTCCTGTAATCGGATAAGTTTGGAAATCGATGGAGGATGATGATGATGAAGCCAGACACAAACATGATGATGTACACAGCCAGGTGGCTGTAGCGATCAAAAGCCATGATCATTAGTATAGTGTGGGTGGCACCGGCATAAAAGTGAGCATAAAACGCCTGAATGACACAGTCGATGTAAGGAATGAAGCGGTCGCTGCTCGGAACAAAAATGTTACTCAGCAAGTGAGGAATGATGACCGTGGCCCCCAATGCATCGTTAACGCTCATGTTGCAGAAGAGCAGATACATTGGCTGGTGAAGGCTCCTCTCCGTGGTGATCAGGACTACAAGGCCAATATTGGACACCATGATGAAGATATAGATGAGGAGGAGGATGATGAAGGCGGGAATGGAGGACTCCAGGCTGACCTTTAACCCCTCCACAAGCAGAATATCTGTTCTTAAAGTCTGGTTGTCTATAGTGCAGAGGGATAATTTAAGCCCATTGAGGAAAAAAATATCAGTTATATATCTTTTGTTTTAAAATGAGAAAATCAAAATGAGGAAACAATCTTCCTGACTACCATTTATAAATAAATATTTTGTTTTGACAATGAAAATCTGAAAGGGAAAAAATGACCCGTTATCTGATTTTATTTAATGTGTTTATAAATGGAAATCAGAAATTAGAATATATGTTTGGTTGTTGTTGTTGTTGTTGTCATGAATTGAATGTTTGTCTTAACTGTGATGCCAACAAGAAGCATTCACCTTTCTTCAAGTTACTTCTTACATGTGGGAAATTATATATATTAGCAGAGCAGCTAGTGTTTTATGAGGAATGTTACCCTATTATACAGGTGAATTTGGGGCGATCATAATACCTGCATGAGAGGGACCTGGGGAGTGATATCTGAGGTGCTGCAGTTGGACCCTTCTCAAAATCAGCACCTTTTTCAGAAATGAAATTTTCATGTATGTATGTATGTATGTATGTATTTTATGGGGCCTTTTTCATTTAAAAAACTTTTAAGAGCTGAACACAAGCTTTATTCACAGAGCTGATAGAACAATGAAATGGGAAAATGCCCTATGCAACCCCTATGTGTATTATTGTTCAAATCTATTTAAGAAAACATAATACTGACAGAGAGTTGTAGAAAAAGTTCTTTAAAACATCCGGAAAACCCATCTCTAAACAATATCCACAGGAAATAATCTGCTCAAAATGTATCCAAATCTCTGGTTTTACACAAACTTCCTGCAGTTACTGTGTTCACTGTTTGGGTTCATTGTACAGTTTATCAGCTCTTCTCTACTGTTATTGTTACGCATTGAATGTAATATTAAATATCTATAACATCAGTCAGTTTACTCAATGATAGCAAAGGGCTCCCTTAAGGAAAGAGGTTGGGAACCACTGCTGTACAGTAATAATAATACATTACCATGTTTGACCCACAGAAATTATAATCAAGAAAGTATATATATAGAATCAAGTGGGGAACTTTTAGGTAACAAAATACATTTATCGGTCCAAAGTAAAACACATAAAAGCAGGATAAGTTCTCAGGTTGAAGTGCTTTAGGAAGACATTTTAAGCTATATGACCTCTGCCTGCAATTATAAAACCATGATTAGTATTATGTATCTCATGCTTACCTCTGCTGACGTGAACCTCATTCGCTCAGACCCAAAGTTGGCTGACACTTTTATAAGCTGAGTGACTGGCAGAGGTGTGGACTCGAGTCACATGACTTGGACTTGAGTCAGACTCGAGTCATGAATTTGATGACTTTAGACTTGACTTGACAAAATGTAAAGAGACTTGCAACTCGACTTGGACTTTAACATCAGTAACTTGTGACTTCACTTGGACTTGAGCCTTTTGACTTGCAAAGACTTGCTACTTTCCCCAAAACCCAAAGATTAAAAAGTATGTTGACGTGGACCGCTCTATCTCTCTCTGTGTATATGTGTGTATCTGTGTGTGTGCTGTCGGCACAACATCCAATCAAATTAGATCCACGTTGTTTTGATCCGACAGCATCCATCCAATCAAATTGCAGGACAACCAATGAAGAAGAACTGTCAAACAACGCGCCAGTTGGCAAAAATGATACCAAAGATAGTTTCGTTCGGGTATAAAAACTACGAGGTGGTCAACCAAAAACGAATTGCAATATGCAAAACATGCGGGTGATGCAACAACTTCCAACTTCGTTCGACATTTGAAGTTGCACAAAGAACGGTAAGTGAAAGCTAACGCTAGCTTATCGGCTAAGTAACTTTGCTTGCTGCATAGTTAAATCAATGAGATTGTAAACTCACTGTTAACGTTACATTGCAAACACGGTAATCTGCGTCCACTGTGGGTTAACTCCCTTACTCATACTTTTGTCATAAAGTGATAGTTTGGGATTTTTGAAGCGGGGTTGTATGAGGTACTTAGTCAGTGTATCACACACAGCAGACGGCGGTCAGCAGCAAAACATAAGCAAACCTAATAAAAAATCAAGGTTTAAATGTACTTTATATTAAGAATATGTGTTTTTGATATTGATATTAATACTATGAGTAATAAAGAGTAGATTCAAATACAATTTATGTGTGGCTATAAGGGATTTTCTGACATCTGTTTAATATGCTTACCTCTTACAGATTTGAAGAATACCAGATGAACAAAAGCATCATAAATGAACCACAACAGCCTTCAATCTCACAATTCCTGGACAGTCGTGTAGGGCATTACAGCATGAGTCATCCACAGCAGAAAGCTATCACCAATGCAATACTGTCCGACTTGATTATTGATTGCAACTTTCCCCTGTCTATTGTGGAAAACAAGAGTTTTCGGCACTTTCTGACAGTACTTGACAGTAAGTACAGCCCAGTGTGTCGGAGAACCTCGCTGAAGAGAGACGTTCAAAATTAAAAACTCAATTAAGCAACACTGACCATGATTCAGTCACTGTGGACATTTGGTCTGACCGAAAGATGAGGGGATTCCTTGGTGTCACTGTGCACTGGATAGAGAAAGAGGCAGAGAGGAAACAGCTAAAACTAATCTCTTGGCCTGCAACCGCTTCAAAGGCTCACACACAGCTGAAAGAATCTGTGACCAATTTGAGGCAATATGTGATGAATACAGCATCAAAGATAAATTGGACTACATTATTAGTGACAATGCTGCTAACATGCAAAAGGCACTCTCTGTGTGCTTCCCCAGTGAACAAGAGGATGATGATGACAGAGATCATCTTGAGCTCTGGTGTGACTTAACCCTGGAAGATCAGCAAATTGTAGATGCTGCTATGGCAAAGAAACAGCGCTTGCAGTGTTTTGCGCACACTCTTCAGCTGGTGGTGGGAGACGGGTTGAAAGAAACAAAAGTGGTATGTCCTTCTCTTTCCAAGTTATCAAAACTTAGCTCACTGCTGTACACAAGCACAACGTTCAAAGACGTGTTTGATAGTGAATTTGGGGAACAGAAAGGCATCCCTGCTGCAGTCAACACAAGATGGAACTCAACACTGAGGCAAGTGAAGGCAGTTCTCCAGTGTGATCATCTAAAGCTCTGTGCTGTTCTAGAAAAGACTGGGCATAAGGAGTTGTCATTCACAACACAAGAGTGGAATCTGTTGAAGGACTTGGTGGACATCTTGAAGCCGTTTGGAGAAGCAACTGATTTGACACAGGGGGAGAAGGTTGTCACAATCAGTGCTATTGTTCCATCCGTCTTGTCCCTCAATCACCACCTTGAGAAGCTGAAGCCTCAAGTCCGTTTCCTGAGCAACCTGGTCAGAAGTCTCCAGGCCTCCCTGAACAAAAGATTTCTTGGGATCTTCATCAACGTGAAAATGGCCAGGACACAAGATGGGATCACTGCCCCCTTTTCCGACCCAGTCTACCTCAAAGCAGCTGCCTTGGATCCAGCCTTTTCTCTACTGTGGGTGGAGACCCGTGTGCTGGTCAATCGTGACATCAAGACAGAGGTGGCACAACGAGTTAAAGGTAAATATTATTGACTTTAATGTAACTTTTTTCCTCATAATCTGATCCAATTGACTGCAACAATAATTACATTACAGTCTAACACTGTATCACCAACACCAATGGTAATAAGGGCTCTTTTGTTTCTGCTGTTGTTGCATGTTTTGCCAGAATTGATTCTGCAAGATGCTGCAGAGACTGAGCAACTCAACTGAGCGAGTTTTCAGCCATGGTGGCATCATACTACGTCCACATTGTGCACAAATGACTGACAGACTTTTGGCCAATTTGATCTTTTGCAAATGCAATGCAGCATAGGGCCCTGACATAGAAAAAGCACAACCCTGTTCATTGTTATGTTCATGTATTTGTTATCCCCCCCCCCTCCTTCTCTCTCACACACACGTACACACACGTACACACACACACACACACACACACACACACACACACACACAGAGACAATGTGAGATGAGATAAATACAAGACAGGACAGACAACTAGTTATAGTGCATTGGTAATACAATGTCAGCACTTTTTGTGTAAATGATTACATTTGCATTTGTTTTTGTAAATGTGTTTGAAGAATGTTCTTGGAAAAAAGTTTTGTAAATAAATACATAAATAAATCTTAAAAGCATACATGATCTGTGCAAATAGTATTACTCTGTTGTTAAAGGGACTTTCCTACAGTTTTTAAACTGTAGGACTTGGGACTTGACTTGAGACTTGTCTGTCTTGACTTGGGACTTGACTCGGGACTTGAGGGCAAAGACTTGAGACTTACTTGTAAATTGCAAAACAATGACTTGGTCCCACCTCTGGTGACTGGCCCCTCTGTACTCCGGGGTTAACTTCGTCATTGTAGCTGCTGTCAATCTCACAGGAATATTATGTTTCCTGTTGGCAGTTTACTGTTTTTGGTTGTAGTAGGACACCTGCTCTCTAAGCATATCCCGCAAAAATCCATGCTGATTAGGGATATGCAACTCTGCCTTCTGATATGATATGGTATCTAGATACATGGGCTACGATGCATTTTAATATAGAACAATTTGATTCGATTTGATGCAATCTGATGCAGTTCTTAACATTTGTTTGATGTAGATTTTTCTAAATTTACAAAAAGGCATTTCTATAAAAGACATTGCTTACCTTCAAATGCATATCTATATATTTTTATAAAATACCAGTTTATGTGAAAATAAGGGGAAAAAAATTACCTTTCACAAGAGTGGAGACGCTGTTAGCAGCAAAGCTTTAGTTAACAGATGCATAACTTTAGAATTGGACCATTGACCGATTCATGGTACATTTAGATCCATCCAGAGGTCCAAGTACCGATGTAGTAGTAACCTACGCAAAGGAGGAGCGGCTCCACTCTGAGTCCCTCGTGGATGACCAAGCTTCTCACCCTATCCCTAAGGGAGATGACGGCCACCCTCCTGAAGAAACCCATTTCGGCCGCTTGTACCCGTGATCTCGTTCTTTCGGCCATGACCCATCGCTCATGACCATAGGTGAGGGTAGGAGCAAAGATCGACCTGTAGATCAAGAGCTTCGCCTTTCAGCTCAACTCTCCTTTCCTCCCCCCCACGACTACGCCTCGATATCCTGTCCATGAAAATCACAAACACGATTGCTGACAAAGCGCAGCCCTGGCGGAGCCCAACACCCACCAGAAACGAGTCTGACTTACGACTAAGAATCCAGACACAACTCTCGCTTTGGAAATACAACCAAGACAGCCCCTCAACACCCAGAGCCTTCAGCATTTTTGGGCGAATCTCATCAATCCCCTGGGCTTTGCCACCATTTGACTACCTCAGTAACTAATTTATAGTAAATTGATGTAGATCCTTCATCATCCTCCAGCCCGACCTCTATCACAGAGGGTGGGGTTGTTGGACTAGCCGGGTTTAGGAGTTCCCCAAAGTGCTCCTTCCACCGGCCAATAACCTCCTCAGTTCCCCGCTTCCCCCTCCTGAGGTGTTGGATGGTTTTCCAGAAGCTGTTTGGTGCATAGGCACAAACAACAGTCAGAGTCCCCCCCCCCACACAGCCCGTAGGCATAGGGACCCTCTTGTCCACCGGGGTGAACTCCAACGTAGCGGCGCTCAGCCGGGGGCTTGTGAGCATCCCCACACCCGCTCAATACCTCACACCTTGGGCAACTCCATAGAATAGGGTCCAACCCCTATACAGGAGTAAGGATCCGAGCCTCGGCTGTGCATAGATGTAAGCCCCACCAGATCTAATTGATAACGCTCCACCTCCCGCACAAGTTCTCCGGCCCCCCCAGCGAAGTGACATTGCACGTCCCCAAAGCCAGCTTTTGCTGCCCAGGTCTGGTCTGTCGAGGCCCCCTGCCTTCACTGCCACCCATTTGGCATTGCACCTGACCCCACTGGTTTCTCCCGTGAGTGGTGGGCTCGCGGGATGAAAATGTGTCTACATCACTCTTTCGGGCTATGCCACCAGGCACTTCCTTTCAGGCCCCCCTTCCAGGCCTGGCTCCAGACGGGGGCCCCGGGCTTCCTCCGGGCCGGGTCTCTCTTCACCTTCTGCGTTCTTTCATGGGGTCTTCTGTGAACCATTCTTAGTCTGGCCCCTCACCTGAGACCACTTTGATCCTACCAGGAGCATATTGCTCCAGACAACACAGCTCTCAGGTTCATAGAAGGCTGCTTTAAGGCTGCTTAAAGAAGTTTTACCCTTAATTGGCACTTCTTTAGAAGATATTATCAAATTTTCTTTATGGTCAGGATATGTACCAAAGTCCTTTAAAGTAGCTGTAAGTAAACCCCTTCCTAAAAAGCCCACTCTTGACCCAGGGGTTTTAGGTAACTATAGACGGATTTCTAACCTCCCCTTCCTCTCTAAGATCCTGGAGAAAGTAGTCGCCAAACAGTTGTGTGACTTTCTACAAAAGAATAGCTTATTTGAGGATTTTCAGTCAGGATTTAGAGTTCATCACAGCACAGAGACAGCTCTGGTTAAAGTTAATAATGACCTTTTCATTGCTTCCGACAATGGACTCTGTACTTGTATTATTAGACCTTAGTGCTGCATTTGACACCATTGACCATGATAATCTTTTAGAGACAGCATCAAATTGGCATTAAAGGAACCGCACTAAGCTAGTTTAGGTCATACTTATCAGATCATTCTCAGTTTGTACACGTTAACGATGTATTTTCCATAAATACTACAGTTAGTCACGGAGTTCACAAGGTTCTGCATTTGGACCAATACTTATTGACTTTATCTATACTTCCTATAAGCAACATTATTAGGAATCACTCCATTAACTTTCATTGCTATGCAGATGATACACAGTCACATCTATAATGTTGAAATGGATTTGCGATTTATATCAATACATTTTTACACCACCATATACATGATATTTATAGTTAACATGTTCACTATTTAGATTTTGAGCAGGATTTCTTGCTTTTAATCCTACTTTTACTTCTACTAATTAGCACTGTATTTATTATTTTTATAAATGGAGTGTTGGTAGTTTAGTTTTTGCCTTTGTTTGGCTTGCACTTAGCTTAAACAATGTGCAGGAATGTGGACACTGCAACCACAACACAACAAAGCGCCGGGGTTTACTCATGTGGGGACCACTTCCAGTATCGTGATTTACGTGTCACATGTCCGAAAGAAGATCCCGGTGAAGTTAAGGAGACGAAGGCGAGGAACTAGAGCAAGCATGTTGGTGAAGAACAAGAAGACAGAGAGGCGGTGGAGATACTAGTCCTGTCTTCCCTCGGTTGTTATGGGCAATGTACTGTCACTGACAAATTGAGCATAGCGTTAGTTCAGGCAGGGCACAAAGTCAGGCTTAGCTTTCAGTTAGAGCTATATCATACGAGCACAGCTAGTCATAAACATACATCAGCTGATTCCTCTAAGCTTCCCATTGGATACCATACAAAGTCAGCTGACAGCTCACCTGATTTCCTCAAGCATCCAATTGGCAAACATCATGCATGGCGCCTTATTTAAGCTGCTTTAGCCTGCCTGCCTATCTCTGCTGCTCCCTCTACAAGCCTTTTGCACCCACCTCCACCCCAGCTCCTCCTTTTTATGTTGTTTCTAATTAATCAATGTCATTTTCTGATTGCCATTGATGCTGCTCTGTTCTGTACCCTGGGGTCTCTGCTGCCGCTCTCCTTGTCTTAAACTTTTCCATGTATGCACATGGAAGGGCAGGGAGGTGTGCTCTCCCTGCCTTAAGATTTTCCACGTAGGCACGCGGAAGGACAAGGAGGTCCCAGAACAGAGCCATACCGCCAAATGTAATTCTGCTTGGAATATAAGATATTTTGACGAAAGTGGTCCTGACTGAAACAAGATAAACAAGTTCTTGGCCCTGGTCAGGGTACAGAGCGAGTATCAGGAGTGCAGCATGTTATGCCTGACTGAGACATGGCTGAAATGGAATACACCACCCGCTGTGTGCCAATGTAAAGGAGGCATAAAGAGGGTAGAGACACCTACAAGTTCCTGGGGGTGCAGCTCAACAATAAACTGGACTGGACGGACCACACTGAGGCCCTTTAAAGGAAAGGACAGAGAAGGCTGTTCTTTCTGAGGAGGCTCAGGTCCTTCAACATCTGCACTTGGCTACCACAGATGCTCTACTAGTCTGTAGTGGCCAGTGTCCTCTTCTTTGCTGTGGTTTGCTGGGGAGGAGCCATCGGGACTAGGGGTGCCAACAAACTGAGCAAGCTGGTGAAGAAGGCCAGCTTGGTGGTTGGGATGGATCTGGACAGTGTGGAGGCTGTGACTGAGAAGAGGATTAGTGGGAAGCTGAAAGCCATCATGGACAACCCCTCTCATCCTCTCTACACTGAGCTGAGGCAGCTCAGGAGCTTTCAGCCACAGACTGATCCAGCCCCGAGCTTCAAAGCGGTTTGGAGGCTCGTTACTACCATCAGCACCCAGTACCTCCAACCTCCACTAAATAAAACTTATTTTAACTTTAACTTGTAATAATTGCACATGTACAGTTTAGTTATAAACTGTTTAAATATTTTTGAACACCATCTCTTACTTGCATACTGCATATAGTGTATATATTTTTAACCCTTTAAGCGCCAAAGTCGCAAAATTGCGACAGGATGTGGTACTGAATCAAACAGCTGTTTTCTCCTAATAGAGTGTTATATCTCATTCATACTCTCCTCCACTAGTTGGCAGACATCCCGTACTTAGACCTTAACTCAGAAAAACGTCATGTTTCAATGCAAAATGTTCGAGGAAGACCCGTCCAAACTGTGTGCGCCACGGCGCTATTTATGCTGAAGCGGTATTGCTGGATTTAGGAGTTATTGAGACAAAATAAACGAAAATGGCAAGCAAAAAGTTGACGCTTAGGGAAGTGATGGGTCTCCTATTCGCTGACCCTGATTCTGAAGGGGAAAATCTACCTTTGGGAGATGACGGCCAGTTGATTAGTGAGCGTGATAGTCACGGTGCGTGTTTGCACCGGCGCTGCCGGGCAGAGCGAGGTAAACACACAAGCACAAACACACGACCCTTTGCCCAACATAGGTGGGATTACTACACAAACTCGTAGTATCAGTAAGGGAGCTAATGGATGTGGTAGAAGTAGCGGGGGTGGTGAGAATAGCGCTGGGACCAGCGTTAGTGTTCACTCTTTCTACCGCGCCGGGCACAGTGCGTCCATGCGTGGCAGTGGCGCAGCCATCCGATGCGGATGTGTACCTGTCCATTTGTTAGGCTATGTGGTGGGGTCTCAATATTGTTCATATTGTCTCTGTACTGTGCCTTGCAATGAGAGGTTCCACACTCTACAAATACTACAAACTTTTATCTGGATAGATCAGATTAGGCCTCTGCAGCTAAAAGACGCCTACTGTTATTATTATTATCATATTATAATGATAATAATAATAATAATAATAATAATAATAATAATAATAATAATATTAATAATAATGAAGAAGAGAATAAAAAAGAAAAGAAAAAGTGTCCTCCAATAGGAGGGGTGGTAGAGGGTAAAAAATCATAAAAAAACGCCTACTGTTTACATGAGTTTTGTGGTAGTAATGGTTCTAGTTTACGACTGTTGGCTTACAATTTACTTTTACCTGTTCATTTGATATGTGGACAGCATAACAAATAGATGGAGGGGGATGAATCTGATGAAATAAGTTCAACTCTCTTTCAAAATATCAGGTATTTCATGGAAATTATATAATCCAATATGGCCGTCGCCATATGAGGTCATAATATGCAAATTAGATGGAAAAATTGACTCCCTAGATAAACTTTAGGTCATTCTCAATATTTGTCTCATTTACACTTTGGCTTGAAAGTGGTTTGAGATAGAGACAGAGCATCCTGAAATGTAGATGTCAAAATCTAGTATTTTTCAAAATAAAATCTTACAGCAAATTAATATTTAACTAACTGTCTACTTTGAACGCACATTCATTTTTACACACTTCCTACAAGTCAGTGTGTGAGCATATTTACATAGTTCACCATTGGTCCATACATACGAAATCATGTACAATATAGTAATTATTGTTTCAAGTTTTATACCCATATATTCATTTAAAACCTATGTGCAATTTTAGGCTGTTTTCACTGTAGTGTGTCATACAGATTATCTTCAATGTGTAAAATGTGCCTACATGTGATTTAACAATTTATTTACTATGCATTTGCTGTTTTGGCTGGGTTGCCAACTTTTTACGTGTATTTTTGTAAATTTTAATTGTTAATGTTTACACCTATAAGACTGATTTGATGTAATATTATAGACTATGAGTCAGAGACATGGCATCTAGGATGTATTTATTTAATTTCCATTATTATTAAACTGTTTCATTGTTACTGTTGAGTTCTGTCTAGACCTGCTCTATTTGAAAAGTGTCCTGAGATAACTTCTGTTATGAATTGGCACTATACAAATAAAATTGAATTGAATTGAATTGAAATTGTCCAGTGCTCTAGCCTATGAGGCGTCATCCATGTAAATGTGTCAACCAGATCAGACATGATATTTTTATTCCAAGAGGCAGGGAGGGTGTTTTGGGACATGGGGGATGTTTTATCTGTTGTGTTTTTCCTTGAAAATATGAAGCAAGGAGATATTTGTTATCTTTGGACTGTGTTTGTACCTACATCTCCAATAAAAACACTTCTGAGAAAGTCTGAATGTAACTTTACTTTAATGTAGCAATTTGTTACACCTAAGTAACAAATCCTGCAGTTCCTCTAACGGCCACTAGAGGCTGGCTCCAGCAGTGGGTCCCATATTAAAATGTCCAACAGAAGAAATAAATTTACTAATTTCCCCGTTCATGACAACTGGGTGAATATTCATATAACTCACCTGTTAAATTGTATTAAAGATTAAAGCTATGTTTAATTAAGGCTGTGGCAGCTGTTTTTAGTAACCAGGCTTCATTCAGCGCCACCTCTTTGTCAATTTTTGGATTAGCCAGGAGCCGGCAGAGTCAGGACTGCAAGATGGCAACGACCACACTGAGCTTCACAACAGCTCTTCAGAAACCTATGGGGGACCTCGCATCCATTTATAGTGTATCAAAATACCATTGATCAATAAGCAGGTAGACTGAATTTTGAAACAATGATTCATTTATTACCAGAAAATTATTAACTGGTAGCTTATCACAATGTTGGTTATTCCTCTATGAAACATTCAACGTGAACCTTGCAAAAATTATTTCACTCCCTCCACTCCAATAAAAATCCTGTGCAAAAATATTTTGATCTTGCTGAGCTTGGTGAATCATTTTCTTTCCATCAGAGCTACTTTATTGCTACGGAACAAAGCCAAAATCCTCTGCCTGACCTCTTTAATCTGTAACCCATAGATAAGAGCGTTCAGGGCAGGTAAGACAACGTGTCCCATGACTGCCGCCACTTTCCTGTTGTATGACAGCTGAGGGAAACGGTGCAGGATGACGATGACGAAGCCAGACACCAGGAGGATGATGTACACAGCCAGGTGGGTGGCACAGGTCTGCAGCGCTTTGCTGTTCACGGCCTTGTTCTTACTGAGCACGCACACTGCGGCGATCCTCAGATAGGTGAGAGTGACACTGCCCATGGAGGAGCCCAGCAGGACCACCGTGTAGCCGAGGCCGTAGATGTTATTGATGAGGACGCTTTCACAGGACAGCTTGAACAAAGAGGCGTTGTCACAGAACAAGTTGAGTATTACTGACCTGCAGCGTGACAGGCGGACACTGAGGCCAATGAGGATCGCCACCAGCACAAAGGCCGTTCCCCAGGCCGCCACTGACAGCGTTACCACCATCCCGTTGGTCATGATGGTGCCGTAGCGCAGGGGGTTGCAGATGGCCAAGTAGCGGTCAAAGGCCATGATCATGAGCACAGTGTGGGAGGCGCTTGCATGGAGGTGAACACAAAAGGCCTGAACGGCACAGTCAATGTAATTAATATACCGCTCTGAGTTTGTCATTAAAAGATCTTTGAGTACATGAGGGACAATTATTGTGGCCCCAAAAACATCATTAATACTCATATTGCAGAGGAGCAGGTACATGGGCTGATGGAGGTTCCTGTTCATAAAGATCAGGACCACCAGGCCGATGTTGGACACCATGATGAAGATGTAAATGATCAGGAGGAGGATAAAGGAAGAAAGGAAGGTCTGGGAGGTGACCTTTAACCCCTCCAGGATTAAGATATCCCCACTGAAAGTCTGGTTTTCCATATCTCTTTTATATGGATGACAATTAATAGACTACAGTTATAGTTATACAGAGTTATAGTAACAGAAGAGTAACAATATTTCACTACAACTCTTAATAAAGTTATCACAGAGAATCTAAATATTTCCACCTTACAATGACAATGACAGGTTGTTATTACTCTGAATTTGTCAGAGAGGCATCAGAAATATTAATCACATGTACAACTCCCTCCTCAAAAAGGGATAGTTCACCTGACAGAAACAACAATTCATCACATAAATGGCATTTAAAGATTTCAGTAACTCAGATTGGAGGTAATTTCTGCAAAAGAATCCAGAATCAATCCAGAGAAACAGTGACACAGTTTCTGCAAACACACATCGTCACAGTTAGTATTTATATCACAAATTTGCCACAATGTATACAGCGTACAATTTTGTCTAACCTTAAAGGCTAAATTCAGATTATGGAAAACTCCCCCAAAAAAACCTGTAAAGAGTAAAAATATGGAAGAAACTTCAGGAAGAGAGTTCCCTCTTCCAGGACAGACACATACATTGCTGTTAAATCTTTTAAATAACTCGTTATAAATGAACGTGTTACTGTTATTCCACTGCTTTGGCAATAACTAGTAATATATAGGTATCATAGGTACATTTTCATTAGTGTAAAATCCCCTGAAAACAGAAAAATTATGTTTGAATTACCTTAGAATGAGCCGCTTTATCTACAGACGCTCCAGGTCATGCTCACCTTCTGTGGACAAAAATCCTTTTAAGAGGAAAAATATTGAAGAAACTTCAGGAAGGAAGATCCCTCTTCCAGGACAGACACATACATTGCTGTTATACAAACAACATTTCATTCACCGCCAGTGTATAAGAGTGCAGGCAGAAACACACAGATACAAAACATGGCAAATAAAATGAAAACTGTCACTGAAGTGCTTTAAAAACACTTGAAGATCAGTGTGAAGTAAAACATGGTATCATGGTATCCTCCAGTATTACATTCAGATAAACACACAGTACACAGTGATGCAGCTGCTGAGGGCATTACAAACTGCCCTACACCCCAAACCACAACTCATACACTTTTATTTGGTGCGTCAGTGGCCGTCAGCTGCAGCGTCACATGTTGACAGGTATATGATATCATGTTGTGCTGAATCATTTAGTGCTGAGTCATGTAGTGTTGATTACTCAGCTAATTTTGTTTTACTTGTTCTTTAGGGTCCAGAGTGACACGGGACTGTAGTTTTACTACTTTTGGCGGTAACTAGTAATCAGTCCATCCAGGATTCTGCAGGCTTTATTTTGGGTTGTTACAGCCTAAAATGCCTGATTTATGACAGCTTTTCAAAGAAAATTGCCAAAATAGTTGCAGTTCTTATTTTATAATTCCTAAAAAAATTAAAGGCATTGTGTTCCAGAGAGAATAAAATCAGTAGGAGTTTGATGACGTACAACATTTTGCTATGGAACTACAGTGAATAGTGAAATTTGCAGGAAAGTTGCGTTGCTGGGAAATAATTACAGCGATGTGGAGAATTCACAGGGATTGGTTGAAGTTGCGTTATTTGTTGCGATCACAACATCGCAACTTCCTGGAACCGCCTAATATAATGTATTACTTATTCACATTAAATTGAACTTTGACCCATTACTTTAGTTTCTGTAGTTATCATAGCAGTCCCCTGCCCAAAATGTTGAGCCTTCGATTATTGTATGAATTATACAAAACAAAACAACTCTTTTTTTAATCACTGGAATAAAGGCATAAAAATATGGTAGTAATATGGTAGTATGTAAGGTGGTGACATGTATGAACAGATACTGTCCGTATTCAGAGGACTACAGACTGGATCTTTGACATTATTTTATTTTTATATCATATAATATAGTATGATGTAATATACAGATCTGGATTGCCATAAACTTGAAAACCACTGGATCCTTTCAGATAATTTCATTGCAAAAACAAATCATATCGAAAAAATTCATCACATTTTCTTTGTAACGCTGTCATAAATCAGGTATTCAATCACCCCCAAAAAGCCTGCAGAATTCTGGAGGGACTGAACTAGTTACCACCAAAAGTAGTGAAACTACAGTAATATGTACTATATTGAGTATAATGATATTGTGTTGAAAACATATACTGGTTCATACATTAATATAAATAATCTCTACTGTTGCTCTTTATGCCAACATGTTGAATTCATCTACAACAGATACACATGATGTTGATGATGCTGGGTACCGAGTGGTTGACGAGCAACAATTGAACTGTCAACATGTGACGCTGCAGCTGACGGCCACTGACGCACCAGATAAAGGTGTATGAGTTGTGGTTTGGGATGTAGGGCAGTTTGTAATGCCCTCAGCAGCTGCATCACTGTGTACTGTGTGTTTATCTGAATGTAATACTGGAGGATACCATGTTTTACTTCACACTGATCTTCAAGTGTTAAAGCACTTCAGTGACAGTTTTCATTTTATTTGCCATGTTTTGTATCTGTGTGTTTCTGCCTGCACTCTTATACACTGGCGGTGAATGAAATGTTGTTTGTATAACAGCAATGTATGTGTCTGTCCTGGAAGAGGGATCTTCCTTCCTGAAGTTTCTTCAATATTTTTCCTCTTAAAAGGATTTTTGTCCGCAGAAGGTGAGCATGACCTGGAGCGTTTGTAGATAAAGCGGCTCATTCTAAGGTAATTCAAACATAATTTTTCTGTTTTCAGGGGATTTTACACTAATGAAAATGTACCTGTGATACCTATATATTACTAGTTATTGCCAAAGCAGTGGAATAACAGTAACACGTTCATTTATAACAAGTAATTTAAAAGATTTAACAGCAATGTATGTGTCTGTCCTGGAAGAGGGAACTCTCTTCCTGAAGTTTCTTCCATATTTTTACTCTTTACAGGTTTTTTTGGGCAGTTTTCTATAATCTGAATTTAGCCTTTAAGGTTAGACAAAATTGTACGCTGTATACATTGTGGCAAATTTGTGATATAAATACTAACTGTGACGATGTGTGTTTGCAGAAACTGTGTCACTGTTTCTCTGGATTGATTCTGGATTCTTTTGCAGAAATTACCTCCAATCTGAGTTACTGAAATCTTTAAATGCCATTTATGTGATGAATTGTTGTTTCTGTCAGGTGAACTATCCCTTTTTGACAGGAGTTGTACATGTGATTAATATTTCTGATGCCTCTCTGACAAATTCAGAGTAATAACAACCTGTCATTGTCATTGTAAGGTGGAAATATTTAGATTCTCTGTGATAACTTTATTAAGAGTTGTAGTGAAATATTGTTACTCTTCTGTTACTATAACTCTGTATAACTATAACTGTAGTCTATTAATTGTCATCCATATAAAAGAGATATGGAAAACCAGACTTTCAATGGGGATATCTTAATCCTGGAGGGGTTAAAGGTCACCTCCCAGACCGTCATTCCTGTCTTTATCTTCCTCCTGATTGTTTACATCTTCATCATGGTGTCCAACATTGGCCTGGTGGTCCTGATCTTTACGAACAGGAGCCTCCATCAGCCCATGTACCTGCTTTACTGCAACATGAGTGTTAATGATGTTCTTGGGGCCACAGTTGTCACACCGGTCATCCTGAGAGACATTTTAATACCGCACTCAAGGCGGTACATTAATTACATTGACTGTGCTGCTCAGGCCTTCGGTGTTCACCTCTATGCAGGCACTGCTCAAACTGTGCTCATGATCATGGCCTTCGACCGCTATACGGCCATCTGCAACCCTCTGCGCTACGGCACCATCATGACCACCAGGATGGTGGTGATGCTGTCGGTGGCGGCCTGGGGAACAATCTCCGTGCTGGTGGCGATCCTCCTAGGCCTAAGCATCCGCCTGTCACGCTGCAGGTCAGTAATATTCAACCCATTCTGTGACAACGCCTCTTTGTTCAAGCTGTCCTGTGAAAGCGTCCTCATCAATAACATCTACGGCCTTGGCTACACGGTGGTCCTGCTGGGCTCCTCCATCGGCAGTGTCACTGTCACCTATCTGAGGATCGCCGCAGTGTGCGTGCTCAGTAAGAACAAGGTCCTGAACAGCAAAGCGCTGCAGACCTGTGCCACCCACCTGGCTGTGTACATCATCCTCCTGGTGTCTGGCTCCATCATTGCGATCCTGCACCGTTTCCCTCAGCTGTCAGACCACAGGAAAGTGGCGGCAGTCCTGGGACACCTTGCCGTGCCTGCCCTGAACGCTCTTATCTATGGGTTACAGATTAAAGAGGTCAGGCAGAGGATTATGGCTTTGTTCCGTAGCAATAAAGTAGCTCTGATGGAAAGAAAATAATTAACTGAGCTCCCCAAGATCAAAATACTTTTGCACAGGATGTTTGTTTGAGTGAAGGGAGTGAAATAATTTTTGCATGGATCATGTTGAATGATTTATAGAGAAATAACCAACATTGTAATGTGCTACCTGTTAATAATTTTCTGGTAATAAATGAAGGTTTAACGTACCACATTGTTTCAAAATTCAGTCTACTTGCTTATTGATCAATTGTATTTCGATACACTGTAAATGAAGCCTGGTTACTAAAAACAGCTGCCTGTGATGGCAGCCACCTGTCACTCAAAGCTGCCACAACCTTAATTAAACATAACTTTAATCTTTAATACAATTTAAACAAGTGAGTTAAATAAATATTCACCCAGTTGTCATGAATGGGGAAATTAGCTCTAGCAACCAAAAGGCTGTGAATGTGTTTATTTCTGCTGTTGGACATTTTAATATGGAACTCACTGCTGGAGCCAGCATCTAGTGGCCGTTAGAGGAACTGCAGGTTTTGTGAAGTGTAACAAATTGCTACATTAAAGTAAAGTTACATTCAGACTTTCTCAGAAGTGTTTTTATTGGAGATGTAGGTACAAACACAGTCCAAAGATAACAAATATCTCCTTGCTTCATATTTTCAAGGAAAACAGCTTGTTCCAAAACACCCTTCCTATCTCTAAAAATACCATGTCTGATCTGGTTGACACATTTACATGGATGAAGCCTCATAGGCTAGAGCACTGGACAATGAAACAGTTTGTTAAAAAATAATAACAAATAAATGAATAAAATAAAATGCCATGTGTCTGCTCATTGTAGCTCATAGGCGAGAGTATTAACAATGAAAAGGTATAAAATACATTAAATACAAAAAAGTAGGCAGGCCAACCAAAACAGTAAAATGTATTTGCTGAGTAATGACAGAACTGGTGTAGTTTGGGTAAAATAAGACAAATCTCTCACCACCATCTGGTCTCTACTTGTCTGCTTCAGTTCTCTTTTTAATGCTCACAGCTGTCAGATATATTATTTAAGTGCTGCTGTGGGACACGTTTATCTAGTCATTAATACTTCTGACCACCAGAGGGCAGCGGCTGCTATTGAAACTGCTCTTTGGCCGTCACAACATGCTCGAAACCTCATGAGATGTGGCACAGAAGTCATTGATGGCAAAAATGTACGTTTTATTTGGGTCTCACCAATAGGTGTTGGAAAATGTCTGCAGGGTTTAACTGATACGTAAGAAAATCAGTGTGCACATTACAAGAAAGCCTCTTGGATGCAAACCCAACAAGAAGTCAGCCATTTTGAATTTAGTGGTAATTTTTTGGAAAATTTGCATGTGTAGTCCTTTAACAAACTCCTCTTGGGGAATTGAAAGTAATCTGATTAACCTGAGATTTTCACAGTGTGGTCTACGCACCATGACCCTTCATACTGCCTACCAGCGCATGGCGGCTACAGCGCTGAAAAGCTATGTCTGGCACGTGTAGTGTTTTTACCGGACAGTCTTTCTATACTGAGTTTGCTTTTGATAAATACCATACAATAAAATCCTTGTTAACATGTGAATGGATTCTGTCGCTGAAGAGATGACAGATACAGGAGGTGATGAGTGTCATATTCTACAGATATAGACATTAAAACTGTTGTTAAAGGTGTGTATGTTGTTGGTATAATGTCGATAACAGACCAAAAAATAGGCGAGACCTCGACTCTCTAGTGAAGTATACTTCATCGTTTTATTTTATTTGAGCTACTTTCCTGTTGTAAAACACAGCGATAATCCGCTGCTTGATCTCTTTAATTTGCAGCCCATAGATAATGGCATTGAATGCAGGTAGAGTCACTTCACATAAGACAGAAACCACTTTCCTGATGTCTGACATCTGAGGGAAGCGGTGCAGGATGACGATGATGAAGGCCGATGCCAGCAGGAAGATGTATACAGCCAGGTGTGTGGAACAGGTCTGCAGCGCTTTGTTGTTTAGAGCCTTGTTCTTACTGCGCACGCACACTGCGGCGATCTTCAGGTAGGTGAGAGAGACGCTGATGATGGAGGAGCCCAGCAGGACCACCGTGTAGCTGAGGCCATAGATGTTATTGATGAGGACGCTTTCACAGGACAGGCTGAACAAGGAGACGTTGTCGCAGAATGGGTTGAGTATAACCCGCCTGCAGCGCGACAGGCGAATAGTGAGGCCCAAGAGGATCGCTACTAGGACTAAGGCTGTCGTCCAGGCCCCCAACGACAGCTTCGCCACCATTTTGTTGGTCATGATGGTGGTGTATCGCAGGGGATTGCAGATGGCCATGTAGCGGTCAAACGCCATGATCATGAGCACAGTGTGAGTGGCGCCTGCATAGAGGTGAACACAGAAGGCCTGAAAGGCACAGTCAATATAACGGATGTACCGCTCTGGCTGTGGTATGAAAATGTCTCTCAGTATGTGCGGTGTGACAATTGTGGCCCCAAAAATGTCATTAATACTCATGTTGCAGAAGAGCAGGTACATGGGCTGGTGGAGGCTCCTGCTCGTAAAGATCAGGGATACCAAACTGATGTTTGACACCACAGCGAAGGTATAGATGAGGAGGAGGAGGATGAAGGTAGGAATGGAGAACTGGGAGGAGACTTTCAACCCTTCAAGGTGTATGATATCCTCACCTAAAGTCCGGTTTTCCATATCTGTGTAAAAATGAGAAGTTCCGAGATTAGGAAAATGTGTCCACACACACTTTATATGAGATCTTGTTCTGGCTTCAGCAGACAGTACGTGTAACGTATGTGTCCACAGGATCACTCATTTCCACACTTTACATTCATTGTCTATATGAGACACCTCTGGAAACTCACTGTATGGCATATTTCTCTCTTCAATTGTTTTCATATTCAGTAATATGCCGCCATGCTTGTCTGGTGGTAAATCCTGGAGCTGGCGCAACCAGGAAGTGTTTGTATGGTTGTGGTTTGTGACTAAGAAAGGCTCCCGTGGACACAGACCATAAGTTACACATGCCCTATCATTTGTTCATGGAAATCTTGATATTGATTTGGGGACAGTGATATGGCTGATAGCTAGCTAGTCTTGTTGTTGAACATGCTGTTCAATTATATTATATATGAATCTTGCTAGGATAACGTTAGCTAAACCATTCTATTGAGCTGAGGGAACTACAAATATCTCCTGTTGCTAAGTCGTATCTATGGTTTGTTCTGTTTACTGTAGTAATGAACAATGTTTTCATTACATTAGAACTTTTGGGATGGTGTTGATTGTTTCAGGTATTAGTCATACCCTCAGGTATGATGAAATTTATGGCTTTTAAAAAGCTTAAAACTTTAAAATGCATGTTTTCTTTGGCAAGTGACCATGGTATAAGCAAGATAATGCCCTTCGAGTCTGACAGTTGTGATCCCCTCATCGTCTTTTAATTCCTGACAATGGACACCTGATTGGGAATTATACCTTTTGTAAACAGTGGCCCCAACATGCTGTGCACTTCAGCTGTGTCAGCAGCTTTATAGGAAAGTGCATATTGATGTACGTTGGATACAAGTTCACAAAGTTCTTCACAGATGAGGGGAGTTAGTAGATTCCAACATTCAGCACAACATTCAGAGTGCTGATTGGTTCAGTGCTAAGACTATTTGTCTTTGCAGCCTATTATGTTATATACGGGTTTAATAAGTTATATACCACAATGTATGTAATGTTCATCAAATCGCTCTGAAGGTGATCCATATTGTAATATTGTGGCTGGTTAGAACGGCTTTTAAAAAGTTACATTTACAGTTATTATCATTCTTGGTGTGGACAGCCAATGATGTGATAACAAAATTCTTGCTCGAACGAGCTGCACTGCACACAGTCATAGATGCATCGATCTGATCCGCGAGATTGGTATCAGGGCTGATACCGACATTATTAAGCAGATCGGGTATTAGCCAGACGTTATTTTCAATCTAATACAGTTACACAAACACACATATACACAAATAGATCGGTGTTAGTAGAAATCAGTGTTTCTGCAATCAGTTAAAGGGACAGTTCAGCTATTTTGAAGTGGGGTTGTATGAGGTACCTCTCCACATTCAGTGTATTACCTACAGTGAAAAATCAGGAAGTACCAGAGAAGGACTGTTCGACTGGTGAGTTGTTAGAGTAGTAATAAACCACAGGTGTTACAATAACGGTGCAACTGCATAACAACATCGACACTAAGGACTTTATCCTGCATTTGCAGATTTAAAGCATCACTGCTCAGTGAGCTGCCTCCTTAGTAGAAGTATCAAGTTATCATTATGGATTTCTATGTTTTTTAGCAGTCTCATACTATATATGTACTAGATATACTAAGTCAAAATATTGAGTGATTCTCATTATTTTTTAGGTTTCAGGCTTTTCAACTTACTGGATCCGTTGTTTTTTCTTATACCACCCGCTCCATTTGACTTTCCCAGTAACGTGATGAAAAGTGAAATTAACTACTGGGTACAAACCCACTTTAAAATACACAAAGTATAAGTCACAGCAGTCTGTTGACTCTGTTTTTAGTGCCACAGCAGTTTCTGCCCACATAATAATAATTATAATAATAATAATAATAATAAATATATCATATATATATATATACACAGCACTTTTCAAAACAAAGTTGCTTTATGTGGTTGAACCCAGATTAAAGCATTTCAGGACTGCAATAAAGAAAAGAAAATCAATCAATCAAAATTAAAATAATAGGAAAATAAAATACTAAACAATAATATAAGAGAAAAAACAATAACAATAATAATTGTTAACAGACAAGACAAGATGGAAACAGCCTCAGTCCTTCAGGTGGTGAATTCAGTCCCATCACCTTTAGTCTCGAGCCAGAAGGGCCCTGCCTGAGGGTCTGAGGCTCTGGTGGCAACTCAGCAACATAACTGGGAGCTAAATCATAATCAGTTAAATCTGATAACCAGTAAAGAGGTTAAAAACTGAGCTGATACAATCTTCATGTCATTTTACATGTTCACAAGTATTTCCAGTTAAATTTTAAATTTGGAAAAAACAGAGATTGTTCAGATCAGTGCAGACCTGCAGCAGTTACAGACTAGTTAAGAAACATTTAAGTAACAGTCCTCAAATGTGTGCAAGTCTAATGAGAGTAACTTGAAAATAGCAAGTATAAAGTGCAAATGTAAAAGCTTCTTAACTTTTCTACATAGTGAGTCTATCCTTTCAGTAACTGTGTAAAATGCTCGAGCAAAGGAAGGAGACATTCATGTTTCTGCTGCAGCCAAATATTGTTAAATTACATTTATAAAAATGCTATTTCCAGCTGCAGAGAATAGAGTAAGGTATGTTTGTTAGCATTACCTTGTGCACCATGAACCGCCCTCCATCCCGGACCAGAACAGAAAAAACAGACACTTTTATTCATTGCGCTGGTTTAGCTGCAGTGCCACATGTCAACCATTACCTAGCAACCGCTGACTCGGCATCCAGCATCGTCAGTGTGTCTCCTGTTGTAGTGACTGTAATTACTGTGGCATAAAGAGTAAAATGTTTTAAAAGACAAAAACACTTTTTGGATATTCTTATAAGTGATTATAAGGGAATTTCTTAAAATTTGACACAAACATCCACTTGGACTTGAGGATGATCTGATTTTGTTTATTTGTTAGGATCCCCATTAGTTTGGCCCAGAGTCTAGTCTTCCTGGGGTCCACATTTAACAGTTCAAAAGAATCAACACATCAAAAAACATAGGTCTTGTTAGCAGTGTTGACTTACAGTTCAGTCAGATAACTCACATTTGAAATGTTTATTACAGCAGTATAACATAGTTTGATTTTGGCGTCTAGGCTCCGACCTCATCGCTCCCCGCAGATATGTTTACACATAGATATTGGAGAGCAAAGAGAAAACCCCCTAACCAGAACTTACAGGTGGATGCTGGGGTGGTGCAGTTCGAGTTGACTGCCTGAACTAACTCGCAGGCGTCGCTCCATTTGCAACGTTGCACACATTTAACCGAACCCTGTGAATTCTGTACGATCTTGACATTTCTTTAGTCACCGCAAATTTTTTCCCCAAATTTTACTTGTTTTCCCCTGAGTTCACCAATCACAGAAATCTACCGCACAAAATGTAGAGCCATACATCACCAAACTACTTTGTCTCTCTGGAACACATTACCTTTGATTTCTTAATGAGTTGTACAAAAAAATGCTGAAAGCATTGAGACATGCATCGCAATTTTTATGAAAAGCTGAAATCAGGTACTTTAGGTCTGAACAATTCCCCCAAAAAGCAGCCAAATCCTGGAGGGATTGGATTTCATTCAGACATACATTAAACTTTTACAGTTTGCATTAATCAACCAATTAGGAACAAAAATACATTAAACATTACAATCAACACAAACAGCAAACATAAGACATGTTAGAAAAAACGGCATAGAGTAATAGGGGTACATTTGTCAGAAAAGTAAGTTACAAAAAAAGGCCCTTAGGTTGATAACTGTGGATCTTTGTTTAATTTTAAAGGCACAAAGTCATGGCTGACAGAAAGGGGTACATAATTCTACTTTTAACAAACTTCAGGAAAATGTTTCAGCAAATCAGTGATCACAAAATAGAGAGTTGGGTTCATTGAAATAAAATAGGCTGCGAGTACATTTCCATTCAATTCTTGGTCTGTGTGGCCTGGGAATCATTCCATGAGTGAAGAACTAGGACAGCACTTCCATTCAACTTTTTTAATCTTACCACATGGACGTTTTCGGGCAAGACGCCCTTCATCAGCGTGTGTTGGCAAGTTCATAATTGATCTATTTGAGTGATTTTGTTCATTTAATCAAGTAGCTCATTGTCAGTGCAGCAGAGTGGAATGCTTCCACTAGTCATTACCATTACTCCCAATTTCATTTTATTTAAGCATTGTCATTGTTTCACTGTCTATCAATTTTCTCATTCTTTGCATTCCTCAATGGCGACTCATTTTTTGTATTTATTTAACTTTATTTTATACCATGGCCCTCCCCTATGGAGCCCCTGAGGAGTTGGGTAGTCTGCTGTGGCAAGTGCAGTTGTAGTCGACACTGCTGAAGCTTACAGAGTTGTAAACTTGATTAACGCCGTTACGGCATTCACTTGTTATGGACACATCAGTTCTAGCTGAACAATATAATGAAAAGGTACTAAAAAGTGTTAAAAGCTGTAAACTAATTGTTATTTTTGTAAATAAATGTTTAAATAAAAAATAATTTTAAATCTAAAGGTTAGAGAAGTGGCTTTTGATTGAAGATTGTTGGTTCAGTTTTGACATTTTGATTTAATCATTTTATCTTTGTATAAAAATATTACCAGAAATCAGACACCAAACAACTTCCCAAATGATTAATTCTTTAATTAAAAATATCCTTATTTGTACATCAGAGGAGAGATCCCAGTTTTTCATCTAAATTTTGGTTTTAATGAGCTCTTTCAGTTTGTTAATTGCAACATTTTGTCCACATAGTCATACTTTTTGTATCCAACAGTTGCTAATAAAACAACAAAAATGATGAAAATGATTGACAAAAACTTTATTTATTTGAGTATTTTCCAATAAGGTCAGGCTGGGAAAAAAAGCCAGTTCAGATTTACAAATCAAATGTCGGCTTAACTTTTCTGATATGAAATATATTTGACAAACACTTGTGTATTTCTTGGGATTGAAGGCCGTAGATGACGGGGTTGAGGCTGCCGGGAACAATGTTAAAGAGAATAGCTGAAATCTTCCTGTACTCTGCATACTGGGGGAAGCGATGGAGGGCGATGGGGACAAACCCACTGACTAACATGATCATATACAGACACAGGTGAGTGCTGCAGGTCTTGAGGGCTTTACTATTCAAAGACTTGCTCTTACTATTCAGACAGGCTGCTGTGATTTTATAATATGTGAGAATTATACTGCCAATAGAGGACGAGAGCAGGGCGACGGTGAAAGTGAGGCCGTAGATGTTATTGATGAACACATTCTCACAGGAGAGTTTAAACAGCGAGGGATTGTCACAGTAAGGATTCATGATCATAGTCCTGCATCGGTTCAGCCGTATGGTCAGACCAAGTAGAATCCCGACCAAAACAAACGCCACTCCCCAGGCAGAAACTGTCAGCTTGATCACCATTTTGTGGTTCATTATGGTTGAATAGCGCAGTGGGTTGCAGATGGCCACATATCTGTCAAAGGCCATAATCATGAGCACTGTGTGTGCGTTAGTGCCAAACATGTGTGCGGTAAAAGCTTGCATCACACACTCGTAGTAGTGAATGAGGCGCTCTGACGGAGGCACGTGGATGTCTGCGAGCACCCGAGGAACCAGGAGAGAGTTTCCCATAACATCATTAATGGACAGGTTACAGAAGAGGAGATACATCGGCTGGTGGAGGCTTCTCTCCGTCCATATCAGCACCACAATGCCCACGTTGGCAAACAAGATGAACACGTAGCTCAAAAGCAGAAAGATGAACATGGGGTACTTGTTAGTCTTGGTGACCCTTAACCCCTCGAGCTGCAGAGTGAGGCTGTTGTACGTGTAGTTTTCCATCTGAGTTACATGCAGACATAAAACAAGTGATGTGGGTGCTTTTTAACCTTTTAATCACAATGCACAGTAAATGGACAAATTACTTACTACATAATATTTTACATAAGTGCTCAGTGCTTGCTCATGGTGGTACTGTTGGGTCTCTGTAAATAATGTTATAAAGAGCTCGGTACTTTTTGAAAAGTGTCCTGAGATAATTTCTGTTATGAATTGGCGCTATACAAATAAAATTGAAGTGAATAAGTGGAAATAGTGACCCTGATGGAAAAACATGCCATTAATTTGCAAAAATGTACTAAAGTACAAATAAATGAGTAGTAGTACTAATGTGTACCTGAAAGTAAAAGTAGAAGAAACTCTTACAAAAACGGTAAATTATTGAAAACTCAACAACACTATTAACATTAAAGTTCTACAGCACACAGCACTTAAACTTCTTATTAGTGGATCACCAATGCAAAGCTGTGAATAAAGAGAGTACATTTGTAATTACCTGTATGTATCAGTTGCAGATCTTGTGTCATTAATAGAGAACCCTTCAAATAGGATCATTTACATTTTTGACTAACTGATATAACTTGAGGAAGATATCAGATAACTAAGAATAACAACCTTTCTGTCTAGCACAACAGTCTTCAGGCCTTCTCTAAACAACCTATTTATGTAAGTGTGTTGTATGAGGACCATTTCCTCTGGGAAAACCTTGATCACTATTTAAGAAAACATTATGTAATGTTCATGGAATTAATGAAGACTGTCAATAAGTTTGTTAAGTGGTAGATTATAATATATGGCTGCAACCCTCATTGATGTAATTTTTCATGATGTTTTGGATTGTGATATTATTTACTTTGAAATATATGATAGTTTTCCAATTTTGTATACAAGTCAAAGGTCAGCGCTGTATAAAGGTCCGAGGTCTGTAGTGTTTACTTCATTCAGCACTTTGGGCTGCATGTGTGTATGAAAGGTGAAATATTAAGAAAATAAAGTTGAGTTGATTCAAATAACAGTAACAATAATGATACTATTGTTATAGTGCTGTAGATACAGGTCAGAGGTCTGTACTGTCTATTTGATTAATATAATAGTAACAATACTGATATTAGTATTAACTGTGTTTTCAGTAATTTTACACTAATTGTCTTTCAGGGATAGTTAATATTATTGAAAGATTTGTCCATTTGACAGTAATACCTAAGTTATAGGTATGGATTTGGAGGTATGGTTAGGTCAGGACGGATACAGGGCATAGGTCAGTGCTGTAGATACAAGGCAAATGTGGGTGCTGTAGATACAGGGCAGAAGTCAGTGCTGTAGATACAGGGCATAGATCTGTACCCTCTATTCATACTGTCTACTATTTTATTAACATAATAGTAACAGTAATGCAGTAGATGCAGCAATCAAAATCATTTTTTTCTTCAGGAAATGCAAATTCTATTCTAGTACATCCAATCTTCACCAAAATCAATACATAACATATTTAGAACAAGCCAAACACGACTTATAGGTTCGTGTTTGGGGATCATTTATCATTTGTCTATAATTGGTTACCAAACTTTTGAAAGTGTGACCCGGTGCACTTAATGGGTTGTCATTCTTCAGTACTAAATTGGATTGCAACCAAATTTGGAATGTTGTTCATAAAGCCACATTGCAAGTGTGTGTAACATTTCATATAATTTTACCAACAATCCACCATGTGGATTCACCATTTGTTTATTTAATTATTTTAGAATCTAGATAATTTATTTAGCTGATGATATATCTATGTTATGGTTTGTTTAAGTATCAGAAGAGTCATTTTGAATTTATTATTACAATTTATCTGTTCTGATTAACTCAGACTTCGAGGAAGAGGTATGACTGAAGAAGCCTTTTGTCTGAACAGACAGATTGATGAAAGCTAGACAGGATCAACACAGTCTTTGACCTCATGTTTAGTTTGAAAACGTTTTTGTTGTTCATTTTGTTTTAAAATAAATAATCGACAAAGGAAAACAGAAACGAGCGACTCAAGCCTTTTTTTGGATCTTTACCAACATGTGAGTCAAGAGTCGAACCCTGTAACCTGGCACAGCTGTTTCAATGAAAAAAGGGACATGAAACCATTAATAAAATCCTGCCATATCTCTTGAATGCAGTATTCAGTTATGGCCGATTTTGGGTGGTATCTTCAGATATGAATCACGAACACTTCCTGCTGGTATTCTCTCAGAAGCTGTTGCTGCAAGCAGCGCCAGCAGCAGACGCAGCAAACACACGCATATTTGCATTTCCAGAGTGTGTACTTCACAGCAGCCTCTATACTCCCTTCTGTTTTTTAAAAAAAATAATTCAATACTTTTTTATTGTTATCTATGTTATACATCTTGGTTGATCTATATTATTATTTAGGGTGCTTTGCATTTATGTTTGGGGACTTCATGGTACTTCACAGCAGCCTCTATACTCCCTTCTGGTTTTGCTGCTTTAAAGAGGCCATTATTTAAACAGGCCACCAGTTTATTCTATATTCCTCTCACTAATAATAAATAATGTATTCAGCCTTGTTTTTTGTTTGGGCCAACATTCAGGAAAAAATGTTAGCCTGTGTCCACTGTGCACAACACAACAGGTATAGAGAGTGAGTGGATGAAGACATTTTCTACAATTAACCAATCAAGTTAATTGACATATAGGTTAAAAACACAATTAACATATGTGTATCTCCAGCAGGTATAAGCCAGTAGGGGATCATGAGTTTGGTTGTGTCTCTGTGTGTACCCCATTATCCTTTAATTATATGTTTGTGCACATTTATGACTGTATGCTCAAGGACCTTCTATGGTTGCAGTGATTCACTTTTTTTTTCTTGTTAATGGCTCTGTTTTATACTCAGTAAATGAAAATGTTGTTGTTAAAAAGGATAAAGATGTTGTGTTTAGTGTTGTGCTTGATTAGGGTACTGGCACCTTTGTTGGTCCAATTCAGTCAATGTTCATACTGCCATTGACTGCTGACTCGTTACTCCTCTTAACCAGCCAATAGGTGCTGCAAGTAATCAAAAACTGCTCCAGATTGTAATCTTATTTCCACTAGAGACAATGTACGGTGGTCACGTTAGTGTTGGCAGATTCTTTTGTTGGCATTTTCTCTCACATTTCACATCACTGGTGTTTCGGAATTGTCTGTGGTTTGTCTCCATATAGCCTGTCTACTCTGTTAAACCTTGATAATATTACCTGTATATTGTCTCCCTTTCATTGGTCTTAGTCATTACATTACCTCTAAATATAACTTTGAAAAACATTGCAGTATTATTAATTCTTCTTCCTAAAATAAATTATTTGAAATCTTGTTGCTGTTGCGACAGAGAACCAAATATGATCTCCACCCAAGGCTCTATGCCACTGTATCACTGAAACTGGGATATACTGGAAATGTAAAATAGCAGCAGGAGAAAGAAGAACTGAATAAACCTTTGACAAAGTATTACAAACAACAGTATAATGTATGTGATGAATATTGCATTAATATCATAACATGGAGAAAAACAAATAAAAACAGAACATTTTTGAAAGAGATAAGATTATGATTTCTCATCTGAATGCAGATAAAAATGGCACTGTTAAGCTTCAGAGAGTAGAATTCATAAGCTTAAACAAAACAAAACAATCCAGTCACGATTCACAAATGTTACTTAAAACAGTGCAGTATGAATTAACACAATGTGAAATACAATAAAGCTGTTTACTTTCCATTTAATGATGTTTTACATTCTGTTAATGTTTGCAAGTTTACACACAAACTTTAAAGCTCAGAATAATGGCCATACTGGTTTGTATCGCAATAATTTTGACAATGATCTGCAGATTTCTGCTGACTGCACCCCATAAATAATGGGGTTTAGGCTGCAAGGGACGATATGAAAAAGAATGGCAGAAAGTTTCCTGTAGTCTGAGTACTGGGGGAAGCGATGCAGAAAAATGACAGTAAATCCACTCATCAGCATGATCAGATACACAACCAGGTGAGTGCTGCAGGTCTTCAAGGCTTTACTGTTTAAAGACTTGTTCTTACTGGTCAGACAGACCACTGTAATCTTAGTATAGGTGAGAACCATGCTGCCTATAGAACCTGTGAACAGGACTACAGTGAAAGTGAGGCCATAGACATTATTAATGAACACATTCTCACAGGAGAGCTTAAACAAGGAGGCATTGTCACAGTAAGGATTCATGATCATAGTCCTGCATCGGTTCAGCCGTATGGTCAGACCGAGTAGAATCCCGACCAAAATGAAGGCCACTCCCCAGGCAGAAACTGTCAGCTTGATCACCATTTTGTTGGTCATTATGGAAGAATAGCGCAGGGGATTACAAATGGCCACATATCTGTCAAAGGCCATAATCATGAGCACTGTGTGAGCAGTGGCACCAAACATGTGTGTGGTGAAAGCTTGAACCACACATTCATGATAACTGATGAGGAGCTCAGAGGGAGGCCGCAACATATCTGAAAGCAAACGAGGAACCATGATCGAATTTCCAAGTATATCATTGACTGGCAGGTTGCAAAAAAGAAGATACATAGGCTGGTGGAGGTTCTTGTCAATGAAAACCAGAAATGCAATGCCAGCATTCATGAACATTATTAAAATGTAGGAAAATAAAAAGAAGAGGAACACCGGGTAGACAGAGCCCTTAGAGATATTTAACCCCTCCAGCTTGAGTGTAAAGCTGTTGAATGTGTAGTTTTCCATCAACCTGCAATAACAAAGAGAGATCACGATGCACATATGCTCAATGATATTACTAATTATAATATCAAACAAATCACCAAAAACAACATAAAGCTTATGCATTTACCAGACTATGTAGTTCAACAAAAGACTAAAGACTAGAGAAAGACTGTTGTTCAGTAATACCTGCTTTGAGTCCTCTGATTCATCAGCATTTAGTCTTTCTCGTATTGTGTCTTTGTTGCAGTGTTATATAGCCAGTTTTATTGTCAGTGGGCTGAGTCATTGTTAAAAGATGACTTAAGATGGAACATTATGAAATCATAATGGCTAATGGGAAGTGTCATCCAGCAATTGTAACTACTATTAGCTTTGAAAATGAAAATATTTTCCAACCTAGATGTTATGTGGGATTAATAATGGAATGTATTTAACAGTTATCCCCATCAGTATAATTGAATCATTCTTATACCAAATTGTGCATGTTTCATGAGGGTTTAAAGTTGTCCCCACTTTTTGTCAACACTGTCAAACATTCAATAAAATGTAATAAATAAGGCAATATAAGGGGCAACTGTCATTCCAATTTGTTTGTCAAGATTTCACTAACCATAATCCTAACGTTCAAAGTCTGCAAGGATAGAAGTAGGTTATTAGCTACAATGTCATGGAAAATATACACTGATCCATTTGGAATTTCTTGTGCTTTTAACTTTTGTCAATATATCTGAAAAAGGTTTGTTTTATTCCTTTAATGTATTTAACTTGTATGTAAATGAAGAAAACAATGATGTTAAAGTCACTAATGTCTAGATAATTTTAGTTGTCAGAGATCATTTGCTAAAGACACCTAGAACTAAATGTTATAGACCGTGTCTCTTAATCTATCCCTTTTTTTTTCCTCTGTTGCAAATCATTGTTCTAACAATCAAAGCCAGAAATGTGAAAATTGTGTTTTTCATCTGATCAGAAATCATGAGAGAAACAAGCAGATAAGTAGTAATACCTGTGTTAAATGCTGTTTCACTCTGTTGTCCCTTTTTTGTTTCTTCCAGTTCCCTGCTGGTTATGCCCACAAGCACTCACAAGATGATCTCTGTTTCAATGTTTTATAGACTTAACTTTAGGGATTTCAATGATCATTACCTTGGACAATGTATGATGCAACAATAAGAATGAATGGCCATCACAGCTGTCAACAAGCAAAAATATACAACTTGTTGCTCTCTGAGACAGGAAAAAGTTTCTCTTTTGTTATACCCTCAATTCCACCGTAACTTAATTCTTTATTTGGATCTACATTCACTTTCACAAAGTGGTTGTTACAATATAAATAATTCTAAAAGTCAGCAGCAATGTAAAAGTTCATATAATGATTGGAATAAGAAAATGCTCCGTTTGGAATTTCTTGTGCTTTTAACTTTTGTCAATATATCTGAAAAAGGTTTGTCTTATTTCTTTAATGTATTTTTTGCTTATTGTGTGATTGCTGTATAAAGGTCAGAGGTCTGTACTGTTTATTTCATTCAGCACTTTGGGCTGCATGTTTGTATAAAATGTGCTATATTAAGAAAATAAAGTTGAGTTGATTCTAATAAAGGTAAATAATTATACTATTGTTATAGTGCTATAGATACAGGTCAGAGGTCTGTACTGTCTATTTGATTAATATAATGTTAACAATAATGGATTGCAACCAAATTTAGGAATGTTGTACACAAAGCCAAATTGCAAGTCTGTGTAACATTTCATGTAATTCTTACAACAATATCTCCACCTTGTGGCCATTAATTAAACCCTGCCATAACTCTTGAACACAGTATTCAGTTATGACCGCTACGTGCTGGCATTCTTTCAGAAGCTGTTGCTGCAAGCAGCGCGGGCAGCAGACACAGCAATCACGTGCATATTTGCATTTCCTGAGTGTGGAAATGCAAATATTTTAGTTTTGGTTGTTTTTTTGTTACTTGTGCAGGTAAATAAACTAAACTAAACAAACGCATGCAATCATGTCTCACAATATTTTCTGTGGTAGTATTTTGAGTGTAGAAGTTATCCATTTGAGTAAATGAGTGCAAACACTCTAAAAGCTGCAGTAAATAACAAAATAGGTCAACACTTTTTATTGTTATCTATGTTATACATCTTGGTTGATCTATATTAATATTTAGGGTGCTTTGCATTTATGTTTGGGGACGTCATGGTACTTCACAGCAGCCTCTATGCTCCCTTCTGCTTTTGCTGCTTTAAAGAGGCCATTATTGAAGCAGGCCACCAGTCAATTCTGTATTCCTCTCACTAATAATGTATTCAGCATTTCCTTCACATTGAGCTGCACATCCATGTGTGCATGAGTTTTTTGCTTGGGCCAACTTTCAGGAAAAATGTCAGCCTGTGATAGACAACCTGTCCACTGCACACTTTGCCTCTCACCTAAAGTGACCTAGAGTGGGCTCCAGCCCCCCATGAACCTGCAAAAAGCATCAACCGGTATAAAAAGTTGGTGGAGGAATTATGTCAAAGTTATTTTCTACAATTAACAAAACAAGTAAATTGACATAAAACTTAAAAACACAATGAACATATGCGTATCTCCACCAGCTATAAGCCTGTAGGGGATCATGCGTTTGGTCGTGTCTGTGTGTCCGTGTGTGTATTTGTCTGAAGCTAATCTTGCATACTACAGGATCCATTATCATCATATGTTTTGTGCACATTTATGACTGTATGCTCAAGGACCTCTCATGGTTGTGGTGGTTCAAAATGTTTTAAAACATTTTGTTGACTGCTCTGTTTTATGCTCAGTGCCTGAAATGTGTCGGTACACGATGGTTACTAAGTACCAGAACTACTAAATTTTGTCCCCAAGACTATCCTTACCTTTTCTTGAGTACCACCTCCTCTGGTGAGCATTTGTATTATTTAAAGGTGTTTGATATTGTTATAGCTATATATACTGTGAAAGCTAAAGCATCTATTACTGTTTGCGATAGTTAGCTTCTTCTGGCATTTTAGCAGTCTATCTTGAGACTCCATAAATCAGCTTGGTACTGCTGTCGTCAAACTGGTCTCAGTCTGTCTTGAAAGCTGTGTTCGGTCGCAGTTGAGGCAGAGCAGCCAGAGGACATCAGAGGGAAAACCAGAAACAATTTTCTCCATAAAATGTGATCCAGTTTCACCAAAATCACTGATAGAGTTTTGTTAGTTGTACTTTTACACAGTAATCAGTGAGCTCCAGCTCCCAGAAACACTGTGCTTTGGCAGAAAGCCATGCTGTTGCTAGCTAGCTAATGAACGAATGAATCTTCGGTCTGTATTGCTGAAAGATTAATGCGTGGATGTCATGATATTATAAGTTCATGCTTACGTAAGAACACGTCACAATAACACAAAACCACAAAATGATTGGATTTGGATATAAAAATACAGTGAAATTGAGTTTTTGTACATTTGTGGCATACAGTATTAAATTGGGGTAAAATATGACAGGGGATGCAATCTTGAAGGGATGAAAAATCGTTTTTCATTTCATCTGGACTTTGATTTCCCTTTACATCATAATTCACCCAATGTCATTAAATGATAGAAGACAGAATAACCAAACTGTGTCTTCCAGGGCACATTCAAAGGCCACTTACATTTTACTTTTATTGTTATGAAAGATAGTACAGACTTTGTGATCCTGTTACATCCATATATTAGGATTTTTAACCTCACAACTTTTGTTTGTTGGGTTTGGTTGTCTTCATTTTCATGTTACAGGTAGTTTTAGCTAGTTTCTTTGCATCCAACACCAACACTTCACCGACTGCTGACTTCACACATCATTTTTTCCTTATGTTGAGTTATCATTAATACAAGAATCTTTAATGTACTGCCTTCTTGCTTATGCTCTTGACCAAGACGGACATAGCAATTGGTAGATATTATCCTTTATTACCTTTTTTATCATCAAGCTGTAATGTAAAGAGAGACTGTCATTGGTTGCCTGTAAACTCATATTTAAAAGGGACAAACAAGTGCACAGTAGAACTATCTTAGTTCACATTTCATGTTATTTGTACTGATTAACTTACAAAAAACCCTTTGTAATTGTCTTTATTATGATGGGGAAATTTTCTTGGGCTCAAACAACTTCGACAAGAATTTGCGTATCTCTTTGGACTGCACACCATAAATAATGGGGTTGAGGCTGCCAGGGATGATATGAAACAAAATGCTGCAGAGTTTTCTGAAGTCTGAGTACTGGGGGAAGCGATGCAGAGCAATGAGTGACATTCCACTAAACACCATGATCAGATAAACAACCAAATGAGTGCTGCAGGTCTTCAAGGCTTTACTGTTTAAAGACTTGTTCTTACTGGTCAGACAGACTACTGTTATCTTAGTATAGGTGAGAACCATGCTGCCGATAGAAGCTGTGAACAGGACTACAGTGAAAGTGAGGCCATAGACGTTATTAATGAACACATTCTCACAGGAGAGCATAAAAAGTGAGGCATTGTCACAGTAAGGATTCATGATCATAGTCCTGCATCGGTTCAGCCGTATGGTCAGACCGAGTAGAATCCCGACCAAAATGAAGGCCACTCCCCAGGCAGAAACTGTCAACTTGATCACCATTTTGTTGGTCATTATGGAAGCATAGCGCAGGGGGATTACAAATGGCCACATATCTGTCAAAGGCCATAATCATGAGCACTGTGTGACTGGTGGTACCAAACATGTGTGAGGTGAAAGCTTGAACAACACATTCATAATAACTGATGAGGCGCTCAGATGGAGGCCGCAACATGTCTACAAGCAAACGGGGAACCATGATAGAGTTTCCAAGAATATCATTAAAGGGCAGGTTGCAAAAAAGAAGATACATAGGCTGGTGGAGGTTCTTGTCAATGAAAACCAGAACAGCAATACCCACATTTGTAACCATTATGAAGAGGTAGGAGAAAAAGAAGAAGAGAAATACAGGGTAGACAGACTCCTTAGAGACATTTAACCCCTCCAACTGCAGTGTGAAGCTGTTGTAGGTGTAGTTTTCCATCCCCCTAAATGAAGAAAACAATGATGTTAAAGTCACTAATGTCTAGATAATTTTAGGTGTCAGAGATCATTTGCTAAAGACACCTAGAACTAAATGTTATAGACCGTGTCTCTTAATCTATCCCTTTCTTTTTCCTCTGTTGCAAATCATTGTTCTAACAATCAAAGCCAAAAATTTGAAAATTGTGTTTTTCATCTGATCAGAAATCATGAGAGAAACAAGTAGATAAGTAGTAATACCTGCATTAAATGCTGTTTCACTCTGTTGTCCCTTTTTTGTTTCTTCCGTTTCCCTGCTGGTTATGCCCACAAGCACTCACAAGATGATCTCTGTTTCAATGTTTTATAGACTTAACTTTAGGGAATTCAATGATCATTACCTTGGACAATGTATGATGCAACAATAAGAATGAATGGCCATCACAGCTGTCAACAAGCAAAAATATACAACTTGTTGCTCTCTGAGACAGGAAAAAGTTTCTCTTTTGTTATACCCTCAATTCCACCGTAACTTAATTCTTTATTTGGATCTACATTCACTTTCACAAAGTGGTTGTTACAATATAAATAATTCTAAAAGTCAGCAGCAATGTAAAAGTTCATATAATGATTGGAATAAGAAAATGCTCCGTTTGGAATTTCTTGTGCTTTTAACTTTTGTCAATATATCTGAAAAAGGTTTGTCTTATTCCTTTAATGTATTTTTTGCTTATTGTGTGATTGCTGTATAAAGGTCAGAGGTCTGTACTGTTTATTTCATTCAGCACTTTGGGCTGCATGTTTGTATAAAATGTGCTATATTAAGAAAATAAAGTTGAGATGATACTAATAAAGGTAAATAATTATACTATTGTTATAGTGCTGTAGACACAGGTCAGAGGTCTGTACTGTCTATTTGATTAATATAATAAACTAAACTAAACAAATGCATGCAATCATGTCTCACAAT